ATGACCCAGTCATGGCTCTGTGTCGGGCTGGCTCGTCCTCAACTAGGTGAAAAACTACAACCTGTCTAGTCACTTTCAGACAATAAAAAGTTCCTTTTAGTTCTGAGACCCAGAAAAGCCACCATTTTAATAATTAACAGGTCCAGCTTAGTGTAGGAGTCAATACTGCAAACCAGGTGGCTCCCTCATTTTGCCTCCACCCCTAAATATGCACCCTACAAATACCAGTTGTCACCAGGGACCAACCCTGCTCCCTTCTCTACACTTCTGAGATGCACAAGCAGTTATAAACAGTCACCTTTAGAACTCCTAGTACCCTTTTTAAAAAAGACTTACTCTGAGCCGGGCGTTGGTGGTGCATGCCTTTAATCCCAGCACTCGGGAGGCAGAGGCAGGCGGATCTCTGTGAGTTTGAGGGCAGCCTGCTCTCCAGAGCGAGTGCCAGGATAGGCTCCAAAGCTACAGAGAAACCCTGTCTTGAAAAACCAAAAAAAAAAAAAAAAAAAAGACTTACTCTGTAGTCCAGGCTAGCCTCAAATTCATGGCTCTTGACTGATAAGATCATAGGCATGAACCATCACAATAGGCTTTTAGCATGCTCCAGGAAGTTTGTCCATCAACTTTCAGCCATTCTTGATGTCAACCCACCTCTTGGGGAGGGGATAGGTGGGGTGATGATGGTATTTCCGGCATGTCTGTCACAGTTTTGTAAGGGCAGTAGTGGTGGTGTTCTCTCCCAGCACTTTGTGGAAGAAATGGCCTCTGTGAGGCTTGACATGTGTAAGAATTGAAGGCATTCATGCAACTTCCTTTCCCAGGAATGGTGGCCAGAGTGTCATGAAGCATCTGGCTTAGAAGGGAGAGAAGGAAGAGGAAGGAGAAGACCAGGAGGATGAAGGAGAGGAAGAAAGAAGGAGGAGAGAGAGGAGGAAACATTACGGGCTACAAAAGGAAAAGCACCTTACTGGGCAGGGACAGAGACCAGAAGCAATGTCCTGGGTTGAGGTGTTGAAGGGAAGGAAACATTTCACCCCTGGGCCTATGTGGGGTAGCATCTGTCTTCCCACTGCCTGTGGCTCTAGGTGTTCTCAGAAAGACACGGTCCCTTGCTGAGCTGGGCCTGCTTTTCACCACCCTGGAGAATCTCACAGAGATCAGAAGCTCTGGGGAGTAGGGCAGCTCCAGCCCATTGGCCCTGGACATCTGCATCTCTCATGATATTGAAAGCTCAGGCATGGGAAACTTAACCCCGAGTCACCATCCACTCGAGCTATAGAACTGAAAAATAATCAGGCATTTTACACCCACAGGAGGAGCAGAAAATCACAAAGGCTGATGCCACCAAGTGTGACAAGGATGGGGGAACAATGGAGACTTTCATATGCTACTGGTGAGAGTGGAGAAGGCCCAGGTTTAGCCTGAATCTTGTGTATATAACACAGGGGTCCTTTTAATGAGGCAGGATCTTGGAAGACAACTGAGTGGGTGTTAGTATGGAGCTTAAAGAGACTGATGAGATTCCTGGGAAATCTATGGTTGGGATGTGTCAATCATAATGATCCTTTGGGACAGCAGAGTGGTGACAAATGGGAAACAGAGATGTTCATGCCCTGTGACCCTGCAGCCAAATCTCCATGCATCCAGGGAGAAATTTCCAGCAAGAATTACAAAGATGTTCCTGGCAATGTTGTCTGCAGCAGCCAAAAGTAACAAACTGGAAAGAGCAAAAATATCCAACATTGGAAGAATGGATTTAAAAAATGGCAACAGGCAGCCAGGCGTTGTTGGAGCACACCTTTAATCCCAGGACTTGGGAGGTAGAAGCAGCTGGATCTCTGTGAGTTTGAGGCCAGCCTGGTCTACAAATCGAGTTCCAGGACAGCAAAGATTACACAGAAACCAAAAAAAAAAAAAAAAAAAAAAAAAAAAAAAAAAAAAAAAAGCCAAAGCCAAAGCCAAACATCTAAAACTGATGAGATCAGTGTCATTATGCACATTTATGGTGTCCTACAACCACTGCCCCTATCTATATTTTTGGTTGTGAGCCTAGCCTTTAATGGCTGAGCTATCCCTCCAGCCCATTGCCTCTATCTAATTAAAACGCATTTCATCACCTAAAAAGGAAACCCTACACCCACCAAGAATTGCTCTCCAATCCCTGTTCCCTTTAGTCTCTGGCAAATCACCAGTTTGCATTGGGTTGCCATGGTTTTCGGTTTGGGGTACTTTATGTACATGGACCTACACAGTATGTGATCCTTCCTATCTGCCTGCCTTCACTGAGCATAGACTGTTCAAGGCTTATCACTTGGACAGCGTTCATCAGTACTTCCTATGTCCAGACAGTATTCCATTGTAGGGAAAGAGGACATTGTGTTTGCCAGGTCCACCTGTCAGGTGGATATTTCTGCTGTTTTCACCTGTTGGTTACCTTGAAGAGCACTGCTCTGGGCCTGTGTGTACACACTCTATTTGAGTCGCTGCTATGATTCTATGGTCGTATTCCTGGGTGTGAAATTGCTGGGCCATAAGGTAGCTGTTGAAGGAGCCACCAAACTACTCTCCACATTATCTAAACGTATGTAAAACATTCCTAACAGCAATATGCAGAGCCACAGGTTTTCCATATTCTGGATTATTATGTTCCATGGAGGGAGGGGGCGTTATTTCAAAGTTTTATTGTAGTCTTTGCCGCTGGACCTGTTTTTAAACTAACAGTCAATCTAATGGGTGGGAGGTGACACCTCTATGTGGTTCTGATTTCCTTTCCTTGGTGACTAACTCAGCTGAGCATCGTCTTATGAGTTCATTACCCAATTGTGTTTCTGCCTTGGAGAAATGTCTGTCTGAGCCATTGCCCATTTTATAATCATGCTTTGGGTGTTGACTTATAATATTCTACAGTTTAAGAAAACACCCGTGGCGTGGTCAGTGCCTCTCCCAGTCTTTTAATTTTCCAGCTTTCTGGCAAGATACACATTGCTTCACATACAGCCTATGCTGGGAAACACTGGAGGGACTGTGTCTGTTTTCTTCCTTCTCTCCAAAGGCATCCTGTAAACCCAGCCCTAACCTAGAGAGGAAGAAAGATTAAAGGATGGCAAGCAAGACTCCAAAGTTTTCTAGAGAAGGTGACAGGTGGGGGAGGGTGGGCAGACATAGTACAATGGTTGAGATAGAAGAGACACACTTTCTAAAACAGTGAACAGGATGAGTTCTGGTCAAGAGAGAGCACTAGAAATCCCCACTACCACATGGAGGAATGGAGGGCACACTAGTGAGGGTGCATTTTCACTAAACAAGTAGTGCTGAGATTTTCCACACCCACAAGTCTTCTGTAGGTTTGGTTGTCTTGCCTGGCTGGTCTGTTCCTATTCTCAGAACCAGTCTTTCTGTCATACTGAGTAGTTAAAAAGAGGGGGTGTGCTCTTGGAGGTTGCAGACCCTCCACCACCACCAGAGTCTCCCAGTGTGTGTGTGTGTGTGTGTGTGTGTGTGTGTGTGTGTGTGTTGAGGGAACAGCCAGAATCTTTGCAAAGACCCATAAAGCCCAACTACCATCTTCTCTAATGATTCTTTGTATGCTCTTCTTCAGTCAACAGAAGTTACTCTAGACTAACATATTTTTGTTTAAAAACCCCCTTGCCCCATCACCCCTCAGGCTGAGACATGATCTCTTTTGGTCAGACCTCTGTAGGGTCTACTTTTTAAAATCCTGAGGAATCACCCATTAATTATTCCCAGGTCCCAACACTGGGCAAACATAGGCTAAGAGATTATAAAGACTAGTGCCCCCAGAGCACACAGGGGGTGCTCTCCCATATGACCAAGTGCCTGTGTCAATTACATTCAGTTGGCATTGTTCCAAGACTTGCTCAGCAACCCTGAATACAAAAGGAACCCAAGGAGGTTGGAAGGCTTGCTAAAGACCTGGATGACCTTGGGCAAGCCTGACCCAGCTTTGGGCCTAGGTGCTCTGATTTGTAAGTTGTGAAATTTGGCTTGGTAATGTGCAGAGTTTCTACTTCCATAGCCTTGGCCTTGGTTATGCCCGGGGTGTGAAGTCACTTCAAAAACACCCAGGTTTGGGTTCAACACAACCCTCATCTCAATTTCAGTGGCATCCCTGTATGAGTGAGCCTACTGTCTTTGGTGTCCACATCTTCCCTTCCTATCCATGCTGTTAGAAGCCAGGATCCCATTGTCAAAATCACCCTCTACATTTTCTTTTCCAAGCCTATGTTCTACACAAAGGATTCTGTGTGGTGGGAGCACAGGAGATGTTGTTTCCACACCACAGAATAAACAAACACCCTCCTGCCCAAGCAAGCGCTGAAGGTCCCTGGGGATTTGAAACCAAATGAGGTCTTGAAATCTCACAACACTTTACCAGGAGCCCACAATAGGAAATTTTCTCCAAGCTACTGGGGCGGTTCTAGAGTGTAAGACTAAGAGAACCCAGCCCAGGTGCAGAGTCAGCTCAAGGTCAGCCAAGGGAGGCGACAGAATTCACCTCTCTCCTCCCTCCCCTCACACAGGCACAAGGACTGCAGCCGAGCAAACGAGCAAACGCCAACCACTATTTTTTTCTCTCCCCGGTCAAGTTTGCCACAGAGACAAACTCTTTTCAAAAAACTTCAAAAGGCCAAAAGAGCCTGCCTTCTTTTGGTCCCAAGTCTCCGTCGGTCACATAAAGGGGTCTTTGGCTGGCTTTGTCTACTTAGAGGGAATGTGAGTGGGAAAAGCGGGGACCCTTGTAAGGAAGCTGGGCTCCATAGGAGCAGAGCTACAAGAAGCTACAAGAAGTTTCTTTGCACCTGCCTAGGAGATGGATCCGCTATTTTAGAAAGGAACCAACTACCGAGAGATGAGGAGACTTTCCGGATTTGGTCCCCTACGTACTGCTGGTAAGGTCGGGGACAGCGGTGAAGAGCCCTCAAGGAAGCGAGCAGCATAACCCACCCTGTCCCTTTCCCAGCGCAGGGCGCGCAACCACTCACAAACTCAAAGATGAAGAGCAAGTCAGGAAAGGTGACGAAGACCGAGAAGCCACTGGGCAGGGTGCTGCCACCCGAAGCCGCTGCCGGGGCCATGCCTGCGAGCTTGGCGTCGGCCTTGGGACGGGACACGCGCACCTCCGGCTCTGCGCTGACCGCTCGCTCGCTCCGCAGAGCCCAGTGGCCGCAGGGCGCTCGCGCGCGGGTTAAGAACTGAAGAGCCTGCTCCAGAGGAGGGCGGAGCTCCGGCCACCTGCCCCGCCCGGGTCCACTGCCCCAGAGACAAGGCTGAACCGTCTGGGGCACCGCCCTGAAACCCAACGGAGTGCTCTTGAGGATCTGCAGGGCTGGGGGAGTGGGTATCTGGACTCACCTGTGGCACCTTTGGGTGCCATCTGCCTGAGGGGAGCGGTGGAGAGTTTTTGGGGCAACACTTCGCTGTGAAACACTCCAGGAAGGTGTTCACTATCCATCAGTAACGTATCCGAAACCTCCATCCTTAGGCACCCCATCCCTTTAACCCTTGTTGGATCTCCAGTCTTCCCTGGGGACGTTAATGTGTGAAAACCGGCTTTTGGAGGACACGTTCCCAGTTTTGATCTCAGCTGCAGGATGGGTTATAGGGGCAGCTATGAGACTTGGCGGGGGAGCTGCTTGACAGGAGGGAAGGAGGTAGGTCTTAGGGGGAGGAGCCTGGGGGCCTGCCTGCAGGTGGTGGTGATGGGATAAGTTGCATTGCATCCATGGGAGACAGGCATTGCCAGGGGAGACACCTGCAATTCCAGGGTTGGGGCAGTCCTCCCCATTCTTTGTCCTATGACCCTTTTGACTGCTTAGTTCTTTGTAGGGATTTCCTCCTCTCATACCACAATTTTACGTTTTATTTTTGCCTTTATTTTTAAACAAGTATTGTACCTCCTTAACTGCTATTTGTATCACACTAATATTTGCCTCCTCTTTATATATTGGCCTTTCTCAGTCTCCAGCTCAGATTCTGAACTTGAACCCTCCCCACCCCAGCTTCATCCCGAGGTGCCGCTTCAGTGCTGGGTCTCCCCCCACCCCCCACGCCGCGACCCGGTGTATGTGTGTGGTCCCTCCCATTCTCCTACACACAGCTCTTTTTCCTTTCCGCTTCCTACAAGAAATACATTTCTCGAGGTATTTTTCTAAAGCAAGACTCCATGGCCATCAGCTGATCAGAGCAACTGCTTATGGGAAGGGACCAGAGGTTTGAAGTAGGACAAACACTCTGCTCTAATGTGAGCCTCTCCAGTCGTCAGCTTTGGTGACTTGTGAGTGAGTGCCTTCACCAAGGCATCAGGTTCCCCAAGTCCCCAGCTGCCCAGGTCAAAACCTCTAGACATGACGGGCTGTGAAATTGTCAGGGCCTTTCCCCCACGCCTTCAACCTGGGCAATTTACAATTTGTTAGTCCCACTGGATCCTGACAGAGTTTCTCTTACTCCTGAGAAGATTATAATGGAGACAAGCCCAAGCAAGCTGGCCACAAAAAGCTACCGCCAGCTGGCTCTAAGATGACCCACTAGCAAATCCAGCCGAAGCTGGGTAGCAATTTCTAAGAGGAGCATCCTAACTATAAAAACCCACAAAGATGCTGTTGACTGCACCCTGGCGTTGACGGCCTTTGGTTTGGTTTATTTCAAACCTTTGTTGCTAAGTCCTTCATACTTGGGCTAATGACTTGGGGGAAAAATCTTGGTGTACTCGGGGAGGTTCAGCAGTTCCAGCCCCCACCCCACACCACAGTAGGATAAAGGGGAGGTCTCTGAAAGAGTCTTGAGGGAGCATTTGGTAGAGGTCATCTTGGCCAAGGTCAAGGAAATTTGCCTCCATCTTGGTGACCCTCTTATCTTACAGGGAGCCCTTTGCTGATGCTCAGCTTCCAGACCAGTCTCTGCTCACATCTACCTGTCACCTTCTCCGGTGCAGTCTGCCCAAAGAGTTAGCCCAGTGATTGAAAGTAAGGAAACAGGAGGCCACAGCTTTGTCTGAGCCCAACCATGAAGGTAGCACTAGCAGGGCCCATTTGAATAGAAAGTTCCCCGGCAATGTGGACAGGTACATCTCAGAAGAGATTTTCTAGGCTGTACTGGGCCACTTGTTGATGATCCAGATGGTTCAGATTTACAAAAATCCAGGGCCTTAGTTAGGGGTCTAGAAAGATGTGGAAAATCAGCTCTAGTCGATAATTGACTGTAGTGCCCTCAAGCCTTCCTAGCAGCACAACAAGTGCCTAGGATCTAGGAGAGTTTGGGCTTTTTATCTAACTACATGGTGGCTTAGGGCAGCATTCTCCAAAGAAGAAACTGAGAAGTTAGAATTGTTATATAGAATGAGTCAGGAGGAGGGCACCTCCTGCTTGTGTAGAGGTTGGGAGGGAACAGGTTTGGGGAGAGGAAAATGTTCAGGGAAATATTCGTGAAACAGAAACTGCCAACAAACAATAGCAGGTGCAATTTGGTTTCGGGGTTTTGAGAAAGGCAAATTCCAGTTTACTGATGGTGTCATAGGCTCAGAAGGGATAGGCGACTGAGTCCACATCGAATGATGGAATTCAGCTGTGAGCCTGACCGACACTGAGCTGTAAAGCTTCAGGCACTTGATTAAGACCTGATTAATACTCCCCAAAGACCACCCCACCCCCAGCCTCCCAAATTCAGTCTTAGTGGTCATCTCAGACATAGCCCTGGGCACTTGTTCCCTGAGGCATCCCAGCCCACTAATGGGGCTCTGGTCCTTTCATTTCCTGTCTAGGAGCTCAGGGAAGTTGGCAGGTCATCATCCCCATTGTGGATAGAAAAGATGTTTGTAGGCCTGAGAGTAGAAAGCTACCTTGGGTGGGCCCTTACCCCAAGGGATTTCATTTATCCACAGTTGCCCACAGTTTAAGGTTTCTTTGCATGGCATGAAGGCTGAGGGCCCCTGCTGGGTGTATGGCTTAATGGCTGTCACAGCTGCCTGGGCTTTAGAGGGTAGGGGAGCTGGTGTTACAAAGCCTCTGATCAGTAGATATTTGGCCTTGGTTGAGATGATGTCTCATAATAACCAGAGCTATTTTGCTTGGCATCACCCTACCAAGACTCAGAGCGTATGATAACATGCCCAGGCTACTATGCTGGGTGACTAGGCTTCTTGCATCTGGAAGGCTCTGTTACTATGGCTGCTGCACTAAGTCCACAATTTGAAGATTGGAAGTGATGGCTGGTTCTTAGAAGGTTGATGGACTTTGATGGACTTGGGGTGCTTTATACTCTGCTACTTCCAAGGACAAACGGCTTCAGCATGGTTTTTGTTCTTGCTTTTCCTTTGTCTAGCCTCTTTTATGTCCATGTTTTTTTCTAGCAGCAGAGAGATATGGTCCTCCACCATGACCAGGCTCCCAAAGCAGGGGCTGGCATTGTTGGGGTGACTCAGAATCAGTGTTGAGGGTGGAGAGTGTGCAAGTTGAGAAAAGTCCCTGCTCCCTTGGAGAACGGCATTCAAACGGTACATAACACTCAAGTTGACAGATACCTGCCTATGTCCTTCTTTGGGCTGGGTCAGCACAGAGCATTTCCTGGTCACCGTAGAGCAAACCATGAAGGGTGGTGTCCGAGTCATCCAGACCTCACCTCCTATTACTATCACCTTGGGGGGTCAAGCTTCAACATGCAAATGGGGGAAGGGACAAGCATTCAAATCATAGCAGACTGGTGGCACACCGACCAGTCCTTCTACAATAAGGTTGAGTTGAGGGTAGCCTGCCCTGAGGTGTGACAACAAACTGAATATGGGCCCCACCCTCAATCTTCTTCAGTACAAAATCTGTTGTTGTTGCCTAATGGGGAGCCCATGGAGCGAGGTAGACCTTTGCCTTTTTAAGCTTGTCATGGGATATGGGAGACAGCAGTCAGTCAGACACACACAGTGTAGTAGTATTTAGTATGGGGTACAGAGAACAGGAAGTCCCATCCACTAGTATGGCCTATCCAGGTTTGGACCACTCATGGGAGGAAGCGCCCATCAGCTGGTAGGCAACAGCTTACCAAGTAGAGGAAAGACTTCCTTCTCCACATGGGAACCAACTGCCATAGGCCCCTTGCCGTCTCTCAAGGATGGAACAGTGCTGCTCTTTATATTATAGAGCTCAGAGCTCATAAAAGGAGATGAAGTGAGATTGTCGGGGAGCAGGTAGAATAAACCCAACCACAGGAATTCCATGGAACAGGGAGAAGCCATGAGTTCAAGGAAACTGATGCTGGCAGGGGAAAGTGACAGCCTTATTAAATCGATGAGCCATGAAGAAGGAGAAAAGGACTGTAGGACAAGGGTGTGATGACTAAAGAATCTGGAGGCAGACAGTCATTAATCCTTGTTGGCAGCAGGAGGCTTTAGGGCAGAACAGGAAAGAATTGGGGATGGGAGGAAAGGTAGGACACGTGAGCAAACTGTCTCCACCATCTATTCAACCACAAGTGAGGAGGCTTCACTTCTGCCTTATTCAGATAGAGCCAATCTCTCTGCCCTAGGCAGGGTCCCTGAGTATACCTCTGCTGGTCAGCTAAAGTTGGTCAAAACTTCAAGGTTCTCACACCCAGGACTGGGCCTGGGGTCCTAGGAATGCAGACCAGGCAGGCTTGGGGCCAGATGGGCTTGATCTTGCTGGTGTTGGGGCCCCTTTCATTGATGGAGCCCTTGCAGCAGCCCTCAAATCACCTTGGTTCCACAGCACATTATGGTGGGTGAGACACTTGCTGGATAAATGCTAAAATTTAGCAGGTGCACCTGGAATGACCTTGGCTTCGTTTTTTTTTTGTTTGTTTGTTTGTTTGTTTTTTCTCAAACTCACACTTGTACCCGAGGCTACCTCCAAATGCTACTCCATCCTGGGGTTTGGGGTGGGGTGGGGAGACACATAGGGACTGACTCCTTCATGAAGACTGGGAAGAAAGGAGAAACCTCTGCATCCTGCTATGGATTGTGGCAATGGACACTCTGCAGCTGTGGGTTCTTCTTAGCATTCCTGTTTTCTTTCGAACAAAAATAGGTCTTTACCTAGAGAAATAGAAAAAAAAAAAGAGCATTTGACCAACA